ATAATTTCTGCAGGAAGCACTGGGTGGAGTTGTGGGAGAAGTCTGCAGTGTAGATGGTGAAGAGGAACGGAGCCAGAAGCGTTCCCTGTGGGGCCCCCGTACTGTCCGACACACAGCCCTGAGTCCTCACATACTGTAGTCGGTCAGTGAGGTAGTCTAGGATCCATGTAGTGAGGTGACGGTCCACTCCTGAGTCTCCAGCTTGTCCTTCAGGACTGTGGGAAGAATGGTGTTGAAGGCACTGGAGAAATCAAAGAACATGAACACAGTGCTCCCAGCGGTCTCCAGGTGAAGTGGTTCCAGTGATGAGCTCACCAGGGGCTGAACCAGGACCGGTGTCCAGGGTCTTGATCGGGTGGGATGTCAGAGCCACCGGCCTGTAGCTGTTGAGGTCATTGGGATGTGGAGTCCTTGGCACTGGTAGCACACAGGAGGTTTTCCAGACCTGTGGGACTCTTCTCAGCCTCAGGTGATCTGTGCAGGACCTGACGACCTTCAGCTGATGCTAACTGGACCTGCTGCATTTAGGTCCTCTGTCTTCCTCTGTTCAGTGTCACGTCGTCTGTTGTCTTGTGCGTCAAGTCTCCATGTTCCAGGTATCTATGTATGCCAAGTTTCACATTTAGAGTTTTTCATGTTGAGTTTTTCCAGTTTTTGTTGTAGTTGTTTTCTCGGTTCTCCTTGTATTTCTCCATCAGCCATAATAAACGTCTCGCTTTCACGTAATACTGAGTTTGTTTCTGCGCTTTGTTTTGTCTACATTCGGGTGCTGGAGCCTCCTCTCAGCACCGTCTGCGGCTGTGACGGCTGTAAATATGAGTTTTTCTCTTATGTTTGTGTAATTTAAATAATTTCTTCACTGACACTGGTCTGCAAAACATGTCTGACTGAACCCTCTGTAATCTGTACTCTGTACTCTACTCTGTACTCTACTCTGTACTCTACTCTCTACTCTGTACTCTACTCTGTACTCTACTCTGTACTCTACTCTGTACTCTATACTGTACTCTGTACTCTACTCTCTACTCTCTACTCTGTACTCTGTACTCTGTACTCTACTCTCTACTCTACTCTGTACTCTACTCTCTACTCTGTACTCTGTACTGTACTCTATACTCTACTCTCTACTCTGTACTCTACTCTGTACTCTACTCTACTCTGTACTCTACTCTGTACTCTACTCTCTACTCTGTACGTACTCTACTCTGTACTCTACTCTCTACTCTGTACTCTACTCTGTCTGTACTCTGTACTCTGTACTCTCTATCTGTACTCTGTACTCTACTCTGTACTCTACTCTCTACTCTGTACTCTGCACTGTACTCTGTACTCTGTACTCGGCACTGTACTCTGTACTCTACTCTGTACTCTGTACTCTACTCTGTACTCTACTCTGTACTCTATACTCTGCACTGTCGTTCACATTCTCGCTCAGAGGGAGAAGGATAAATACTGAAAAGCTTCCCTGAGCAGCACTTTTGTTCTTGTTGCATCATTTCGTAAATATTTAATTTTTTAGCAGGAAACATCCGTGCTGATGAAACTGCACCAGCAGGATGCAGCTCAGAAAAAACGGTTTCTTTTTTTAATTTCTCACCTTGAGGACGTGGGCTGATTCGAGCATGAAAGGCTGTTTTCAGAGGAAGTACCAAAAAAAGAAACGTTTCTGGGCAATTTTGGAGAAGCAGGTCAGCGAGAAAGCAGTTCCTGTAAGATGACTTCACACAATCAAACCCACAAAATAAATAAGTGTATTCTTAGCATCGTTTAGATGTAACGATGAGGCACAACAATGATACAAATACAGGATATAAGAATTTAAGAATCTTGAGGCTTCTGGAGGAGTTTGTTGTCCTAATGATGAACAGGAAGAGCAAAAATGTGAGTTTTGTGTTCACTAAAAATGAGCAAAATTCAGGATGCAGAACAACCCTGCAAAGAGTTAACTCCTGAAGAGCGTTCTGTGTTTTTATTTCTGTCTGCGGTCTTCAGCAACGCCCAACACGAAGGTCGCCAACGTGAAAGCAGCCGAGCTGTGGGGGACATCAGCATCTGGACATCATCTCCACCGTCCATGCCAAACAAAAGACACAGGAGGACGGGGAGGATGGACAGATGTTTCAGCTCTGCAGATGGAAACTCCACATCTGTGTACGTTAACATTTTGTGCTTGTGTGTGTGATCTATTCTGACTGAGTGTTGAGTGGATGTCCTCTGATGCACTCATTTGCAGTTTTAGTCCCTTTTATAACTTTGTCCTTTCTTCTGTGGAGGAAGCTGACGTTGCTGTGGTCAGCTCTTCAGTAGCCAGTCGAAGCTGAAGCCACTTCTTAGTCAGCCGCAGATCGAGCCGATCCGTTTGGCGCTTTGTTGAAGTTGCAGCTTTTTGTGACGTTAGTTTTAGCTGAACTACTGATAAACCTCAGAGAGCTGAACCGCAGATGCATCTGATGTGTACCATATCCATAACAAGGGGGATAGGTTCATAAATATAGCTTCATTTTTATGTTTCAGCCTCCATCCAGACTGAAATGCTGTTTCTCTGTCCTGAAAGTCATGTCTGGATTAACCCTCTGGGGTCCCACTGGGTTAAAACCCGTTCTTTGCCTCTTCCTGATCCCCTCTCCTTGTTGTGCTGTCTGTCCTTTACTCTGCACTTGTGTCGGTCTGAAACCTTTTTAGATCTATATTTGGTCTGCTGAGCTAATGATTGTGAAAACTGTCCTCTGTTGCAATATCTCCTTGTGCTTCTGAAATAGAAAAGAGGAAGAAAAAACCTTGCAGAATTTTTCATTTTCAAAGCAGTGCTTCATTTATTTCCAGACTGACAACTCTCTTGTGTTTCTGTGACAAAAACAAACTTCATCTTGTTGAGAATCTTTCAGTCTGTTTGCAATAAACTCATTTTCTTTTCTCGTTTTTTCTTTTTCTTTGCA